CAAGCGAGCCAGCCAAAATAATCATCATAAAATTTCCTTGCTCTCCATGAGTCCAACGGTCAGTAAGCCGGCTACAACAGCGGCACACCCTCCGAGTCTCATGACCCATCCGGTGGAGGCATCCCACGGCTCGGCGCGGGGTTTCTGTAACGCGCGGAAGATCAGGCTGCTGACGGCGCTGGAGATGATCTGCGGGAAGGAGATTGCGACGTTGTGGAGGCCGAGGGTAATGCCTGCTTGGTTGGGAGCGGGTCTCTTTTTGGATGTAACTGGTCGCTGGGCTGTCGCGGCCCTTGACTCTGGATCGGTCCTGCGCGCTGCCGGATGGCGACTACCGTGTGCTTTGTCGTCGTGCTGGTGACGCGCGATCTCCGTGGCCAGGAAGGCCCAGGGGGCCCAGGAGGTGATGGCCCAGGAGATCCCGATGATGCCGGTCATGATGGATGCTTGGGCCGGGGTGGAGATGAGGAAGGTGCTGAACATGCAGAGGGCGAAGAGAAAGTGGGACAGAAGCCAGGCGCGGCAGAGGGTAAGGCCGCGGATGGTGGGGATGTGGAGGAACCGCGAATGTAGACGGCTCCAGCTCCTGCTGTGAGAGCTAGGAGGATAGGGTGGCTGCTGATGGTGGGATGAGAGAGATGTCTGCCCCGAGGGGACGACCAGATGAGGCAGGATGATGCTGGCTGCGAAAGAGATGATGGCGTTGACGAGGAGCGCGAGCGTCGCGATGCGGGTTGCGTCTTCCCAGATCTTATTCACATCTTCTTCGGGGAGGTCGGGGTGTTGGTCGAGGATCGGGTTGACGTAAAGTTGGCCGATATAGGTGGTTGCGTAGAAGAGGAAGGAGAACCATGCGAACCACGCCGGGACCTGAATCAGGTAGATCCGTCGGATTCGGCTTGAGAGGCCGTGGACCGAGTCTATGATGGAGCGGAACAAGGACGGAAGGCCCGGCCTGGTCGATGTCAAGGGCTCGAAGCGCGGGTCCCTTTCCTGTATATAGGCACAGCTAAGAGACAGGGTGACTGCCAGAAAGACGCTGGCGATGACCGAAAGGCCTTTGAATTGGGTATTCCCTAGGGCTGGAAACGTTTTGGGGAGATCCATGCCGCCCAGAACATAGCCGAGGATGTTTCCAGCGCCGTTGTGACGACTTGCCCAGGCATTGGCGGACTCCTGTTGATGAGCACGCGCGTTGTCTACAATGAAAGCTCGGATTGCCGCCTGAACTGTGTGCTTGTCAGTTGAGGCGCAAGGAAACGGCGGTGGGGTTTGGCTTACTGGTGTTGATGGCAAAGTCTTGACAGTACATCAGCAGTGTTGCAACAACAAGAACTGTCGTTCGCACTCCATCTGATTGCGCATCGACGCCGAACAGACTGAGCGTACCACCAACAATTTCCCGTACCCAGGCCAGAGTCAGCAGACAGAAGACAAGGACTACTCCACCCAGGGCCATGAACGGTTTCCGTTTGCCCCAGGCAATGCGACAATTATCGCTTCGTGCGCCGATGTATGGCTGCACAATGGTACCGGTCAAAGGCCCTGCAATCCAGACAAAAGCGAGCATGGCCTTGCTCATTCCCAGAGAAAGAAGATAGGGCTTATATGTGAATTAGTCATGGGGGTATGTGCAACGAAGTAACCATTGTTGAAGGCTGAATTGCCCCTTACCGATCCACTGGAGTGTTGAACTGACCAGACAATCTGCAGACTGAATATGCGACAAACGAACCAGTTAGCCCCTCTAGTCGATAGTAGACTCAACAGTTCACCCCGACTCACCCTGACATGCCCAAAGTCAGGACAAAGAGATACCAACTGCTTCGAGGTGCTTCCAACAGCTCAGGTCGGTCTTGAGCCGTTGGAAGACTTGAGGACTCCAAGCCTGCCTCAATCCGCCCATCCTGTATTAGAGGCTGCGCCTCGTGGTCAGGCTCCGTCATGGGCAATTTCTACAGGAAGTCCACCCTGCGACACGCAAGTCCGTGGGAAAGCAGGAAGTAGAAGCGGGAAATTGGGTTGAGGGGGGGGAGGGGGTGATGAAGCAGATGATGGTCAAATCTGAGAGAGAGGCAGAGGAGGGAATGAAGGGGGAGAAGTTGTTAAGTGTAGAGAAGAACTATAGTTGGATAGTGACAAATAATAGTAAGTTACTGACAGCCGAGTGTACTGACAGTTAACGTTACTTACTGTAGCTACCCTGACCGCCTCGGAAGGGTTACTGTAGAAATTCCAATCTTGTTGATTTGTTGATCAATCATTATGAAGTTCGGTCCATTCACCATACACTAACTATCTCACACTCTACTCTACTCTACTCTACTCTACTACATGTCGATCGGATGAAGCACAAAAATGTGTCAATGTAGAAGAGGATGTTCTATTCTGGACGCCAGACAAGAAATGATGGATACTTGAGGGCCAGTCAACAATGGTTCACTAATACCAACCCGGTTAGAAAGGATTGACTGCATGACCCCAAAAGGTGATCGATCAATAATACATACAGTACAATAATAATAATATTAATCAAATCAGATTCCGATAAACGTTAGAACTTAGAAGAAGCAGACGCCGATTGCGCCTTTCATCGGTTGCCTTGTCCTTCCCTTATCACTTCTTCTTTCTCTTCTTCTTCTTCTTCTTCTTCTTCTTCTTCTTTCTTCTTCTTCTTCCTTTCTCCCTCTTCTCCCTTAAACCCTCTTCCACTCTTTACCCTTGATTGCTGCGGCTTCGTCTTCTCTCGTTCTTCGAACCAGCACAGCACCTTCAATCGTTGCCAGTCGTTGCCAGTCCCACCCGTGAAACGCGGAGAAGAGAATCAGCCATGACCACCACCACCAGTGACCTTCCCCGCATAACCGATGCCACTAAAGGTGCTTTTCATTCCCACCCAAGCAACCCTCACTACCACTTGGTTTTTTTCTAGTAGACTTGGGAATGATAGCTAATCCCATTTCCCTTCCCCCCCTTCAGTGTGGACCACTCTCATTACGAATACGGCATATCTTCCAGGATTGCTCACCTTGGAGTATTCGCTACGCAAAGTGGGCTCCAAGTATCCCCTAGTCGTGCTCTACACAGACTCCTTTCCGGATGAGGGCCATGCCGCCCTCGATGCCCGCGGCATTCTGAAGCAACGGGTCCCCTATTTGCTGCCCTCAGTCCCCAAGGATTATGTCAACGACGTGCGCTTTTACGATTGCTGGAGCAAGCTTACGCCCTTCTCGCTCGTCGAGTATGAGCGGGTGGTCCAGCTCGACAGTGACATGCTGGTCCGCCAGAACATGGATGAGCTGATGGATCTTGAATTGGACCCCCCGGCTCTGGCAGGAACTGGACCACGAGTTTTCGCTGCCAGCCATGCCTGCGTTTGCAATCCGCTTCGAAAATCCCATTACCCGCAGGATTGGTATGCGACCATGCTGTGCCATTGAGATACATGGAGAACTGACGAGGCAAGGATCCCATCCAACTGCGCTTTCACTTCCCAGCACTCGAACCCGGAAGCCGCCCAGATCGAGGGGGCACCGCCCACAGCCGGTCTGGGGATGCCCAATGGTGGCTTACAGGTGGTCAACCCGTCCCCAGCCATCTATGATAAGATCGTTGCTCAATTGGCTTCGTCGGTCACATCGAACTATGAATTTGCAGATCAATCTCTCCTCTCAGACGTGTTCCATGGCCGGTGGGTGGCCCTTCCATATGTGTATAATGCGTTGAAGACCCTACGATGGGAGGGGGTGCACGACGCCATCTGGAGGGATGATCGGGTCAAGAATGTGCATTACATCCTCAGCCCTAAGCCTTGGGATGAGCCCGAGGAGATCCGGAAAAGCCTAGTGCCGCGCTCCAGTCGAGATGCTTCGCACGCCTGGTGGTGGGAACTGACGGAGGAGCGGCTGCAGGAGGAGCGGGAAAAGGGGGTGAATGACCAATTTTAGACTTACTCTAATAAGATGGCTGTTGGAAAGTGGAAAGTGGAATTGAAAGGACATGTCAGATCAGGCGAGCGATGCTCTATGAATAGCCCCTCCCCCTTGAGGCAGCAGTAGCTGAATCTATGGTGGTGGCAGCGATGGATTCAGAGCTACTGAATTTGGTTCAAGGAAGTGCTGTCTGATATTCCAGGAAGGAAACGCCACGATGATGGATGGCCGCCTCTCCATTTATTATGATTTTTCCAATATGGGACTTGGGAGGTTGGATGGAGCTCTGACTTGACATACCTAGTACGTACTGTACAGGAGTGCTGTACAGTACTCCACCGTTCAATATTCGAAGCCTGAGGCATCAATACAAAGAACCCCACCATCACCTCTGGTCGTACTCCGTACTCCGTACGGTCATTAGCTTCACTGAGTGTATGACATCATGGGAACACCGAACTGGGGACGGAAAGAGTGGTTGCACTCCAGCTCTCCAGGAGCGCTGAGCCTGAGGCAAATCAGCGGCCATTTGGTAGACTAAACCGGCCAAAGAGAGCCAGTCCAGCCAGTACCTTACGTTACAGCCAGTACTTCCTCTCCAGCACGGGAAATCTTGTGGACCATAAACTTCTCCCCATCCCCCACAAACATCCCAGACATCCCAGACATCCCAGACTAGCAGTGGATCAAGCAACTTGGAAGAACGGCGACTTGTGCTCACTTACCCAGATAATCAACATAAAAGGAGGCGACTTCATCCACTTCATCGTCGCATCCCCTTCCTCTCCGGTGGCCCACTCATCAGCCTCACTCTTGCGCCCTCCTCCGTTCACCACAACTACTTGCCGCCTAGAAACTACACCTTCCCATCCGTACTCTACGTCTGACTATACCATACTATTGTTCTATTCTTATCAATCTATCAATTTTGCAGGCATCTGAAAGCTCCCACCATTGTGAAACCTTCCAGGAGACCGAGGGAGAGGCAGATTACACCTTAAATAACCGGCCTGGAATGCGCCATCCTCCTCAATCCTCGCCTTTGTCGTCGTCTTCCTTCTTCTTGTTCTCACTCTCCTCTCTCTTCTTCAGGGCCCCACATATCCTCTTATCTACTTTCAGGGTTCTTCTTCTGACCTCCAGCTTCCACTTCCCCGCTCTCATCCTACTGGATTGACTGCTACACTTCCTTGCAAGCCATTCTTCCAATACTGTCTCGGGGCCCAGCTTACAATCAACCCAAGATGAACAGAATGACGACCCCGACTTTGATCAACCTGCCCCCGCCGCCGTCGGATCCTGTGACTCCCTCTGAGATGGGACCGTAAGACCACCCACCACCTGACTGTTTCGTGCTCTCTGTCTCTTCCACCTCAATTTGTAGACTGACATGAAATCGCGACATTCTTGTGCAGAGGAACTCCGAATTCCGGCACCACTTCGCTTTCGGCCTTGTCGACCACCGCCATCAAGGACGGTCACCAAGGCCAGCCGCACCCCTACGGTCGTCATGCGCATCACTCTCCGTCCGCATCCACCACCTCTACCAGTACTCTTGAAGCGGAACGGGCCGATCGTATCTCGCGCCTGGCCGGCTTAGAACGAGTGGCCACGGCCCGCGCGGGTGGTACGTCGCAACCCAGCGGCCCTGTGCCCACGCCTCACCACCCCGGGTACTTTGAAAGCGGATCGGGAATCAAAGAGCGCAGCACGGTGGGCAGTGCCAGTGCCACGGGCAGTGTGGGCGCCCGTACGACGTGGGCCAGCGGCAGTGATGCCTTCGACGCGGACAAGATGAGTGAGTACCCGGAAGACGGCACATCGAGTGTGGGCAACTTCAGCGATGAGGGCGATGCCAGTCTGGTCGCTTTCGGAGAGGGCGCTAGTACTATCAGCGGGCCCATCTCGAACCCCATGCTGAATCGGACCTCGTCAGGAGGCCGACCAGGATCCTTCGGCAGTCCAGGGCTGGTGCGCGTCAATCCCGTGGCCTCGCAGCACTCGGGCGGCGACACGGCAATGCTGCTATCCACCGCGTCCCCAACTGGATCCGTTACTCCCGAGCCTGCCCAGGATGCTCGGATGGTGGATGGAATGACCTATGACCCGAATGTGGTAGACACCACGGTGAGAACCCCTCGCCTGGCCACTCCAGCGGAAGGTGGCAACCCACATCCGCAGATCTAGTTGGTTGGTCTGCCAAACACATGCGACGGGTGCAGGTTTAGTCTAGGGCTTTTTGGCGTTCAGGGATGGGGGTGTTCATTTTTGTGGGTGTATTTGTTTTCCGTAGGGAAGTCTTGTTACCAGCGATTGGGGAGGGGGGGTGGATTATTAAGGAGGAGAATGTACTTGTATAGGCTTTGTTTGGCGATGTTGGGCGACCAGTCCACCTCAGGAAGAAGAAAACGAAATAGGATTTGTAGAATAAGGCTGGCGACCATTTCCAAGTCTGACTGCCACGAAGGACGAATGAATTACCTTTTGAAGTGTACTTTTGAGATGGGGAAGAAAAAAAACAGAATTAGCGCGAGAAAACAAATCACTAGAATCTCTTTTCTACGCAGTCAACGATCAGAAGAAACCAATTGATGATTGAGATAATCAAACCGGGTCTGGAACATTTTGGGGCTTTTGGGGAGCCAGAGAAGGTGGGCAAAAAGTGGGCGGGCGGCGCCCAATGAAGAAGATAGATGGTAAGTACTCCGTACTCAGTGAGTAAAGCCAGTCTCTGAGTCCTCGGCGGCTCCCGCCATTCTATACTTTACCTTACCCAGTAACGTTAGTAGTGGCTGTGGGTGCCACCACCCGGTGGGTTCCTCAGGCTCTGGCTCTGGCTCAGGCTCTGCAACAACTTACTCAAGTTTAGTCCCAGTTTCTTTCTCTTGTTTCTTCTCTCCTTCGCCTCTTTCTTCCATCACCAACTTTCTCTTCCTCTCCCCCCCCCCCCCCCCCCCCCCTCCCCCCCCCCCCCCCCTCGTCCTCTTCTTCTCTCCTCCTCCTCCTCCCCCCACTTCTACTCTCTACCTCCTCTTCTCTTTTCTTCGTCTTCGTTCTCAAACAGTTCCAATTCAGTCTTCCCTGTCCATCTTCACCAGCTGGCATTGACTTGTCAAGCACAAGGAACACTCTGGGACTTTTCATAGCACAAGATCTACCTCCCTTCTATCTGCCAAGCTTCACCCGCCCAGTCTACACAGTCTTTGTGTGTGTGTGTGTGCGTGCGCGCGTGCCTGTTGTTCTTCACTGCCTCAGTTCAAACGTCCTTAAACGTCCTCGTCGCGGCTTTGTTCACTCTTCCACCTGCTTCTCCAGCTACTTCCACCAGTAGCAACCTATTCTCGGATTCGATCCTTCGCGATTCGATCGACATTTTCTCATCCCCATCCTCTGCCACCATCGGCCCGTCCATTACACCGTTGAATTGCGGCCATTGTTTCGTCCACACCTTGGATTTCAGAGGATTTTGTCAGATTTCTTGAACTGTCAGTGCGACTTTCGGCGCGCGTCTTCCGCTAGCTTTGTGAATTTGCGATTCCGTGTATCATCCGATATAACACATCGTTGAAAATGGCAGCTCCTACACAGTTGGCTTGTAGGTCCTTCCCGCTCGAACCCCACCCCGCCTCATGCTCTTCACGACGACGTCTCTGCAGGCTATCGAGGTGCACATCCAACATATCGAACAGAACACTAATCAGTTACAGACCGCACGGTCAAGGGCGTTGGCATCTTGGATGCGGCCCCAGTCTATGGACCTTTGTCTGGATTTGAGAAGTATGTCCCATCATCCCAGGACCATGGGCACTGTCCTCTTCTAGGAAAACTTACTGATCGTGATTCGTGGTTGCAGACCTGAGGGAAACCTCCGTTGTAGCGCTTACTCTCCTTGCGGTCGCTATTTCGCCTGGGCCTCTCCCGACAAGTATGTTAGCTCTTCCTGCATAACAGCCAACCAACAGCGTGATTGACTATATTTCAGGGTGACAATCATTGATCCGTCTGTCGGACACGTTGTCTCCACCATTGCCGCGGAGAACGTCTTCGAGCTGGGTTTCTCGCCGCTTGGAACCTATCTGATCACCTGGCAACGTCCCACCAAGGATGCCAATGGTGATGCTGTGAAGAATCTGAAGGTTTGGCAGGTCGTGTCCAGCGAAGATGAAAATGTAGTCGTGGGCAGCTTCGTCCAGAAGTCGCAGACGGGCTGGAACCTTCAGTACACCTCCGATGAGCGTCATTGCGCGCGCGTCGTCACCAATGAAGTCCAGTTCTACCAGAGCGAGAACCTCTCCCAGGTCTGGAACAAGCTGCGAGTTGAGGGGGTCGCTGATTTCGCCATCTCTCCCGGCAAGAATACTTCCATTGCTGTCTTCATTCCGGAGCGCAAGGTATGGCATGCGGAGCTCATTTACCAGCCGCGTCGATTGTATACTGACGTTGGGTTTCTAGGGACAACCTGCCGCCGTCAAGGTGTTTTTGGTGCCTCAGTTTGGCGCTCCTGTCTCGCAGAAGACTTTCTTCAAGGGTGACAAGGTCCAGCTGAAGTGGAACGAGCAGGGCACAACCTTGATTGTGTTGGCCCAGACGGATGTCGATCGCTCGGGCAAGAGCTACTACGGCGAGACCACCCTCTACTTGCTCAGTGCAGGTGGTGGCTTCGACTCCCGTGTGGATCTGGGTATGTAATCGGTGCATGTGGTATAAGTCTAGATAATGGTGTACTAATGTTTCTGCAATAGACAAGGAAGGCCCGATTCACGATGTGACCTGGTCTCCCAACTCGAAGGAGTTCGGTGTGGTCTATGGTTACATGCCGGCCAAAACCACCATTTTCAACTTTCGCGGTGTCCCCAAGCACAGCTTCCCGCTCGGCCCTCGTAACACCATTCAATTCTCTCCGCACGGTCGGTTCGTCCTTGTGGCCGGTTTCGGTAATCTTGCGGGTCAGATGGATATCTACGACATGGACAAGAACTACCACAAGATCGCCACGGTGGAGGCTTCTAACTCCAGTGTCTGCAATTGGTCTCCCGACGGTCAGTTCATTCTAACCGCCACGACCAGCCCCCGCCTGCGCGTGGACAACGGACTTCGTATCTGGCACGTGAGCGGCGCTCTGATGTACAATGAGGAAATGACTGAGCTTTATGATGTGTTCTGGCGTCCCCAGTCTCTGGAGCAGCACCCACTCGGTGATCCTTTCAACCCTCTGCCTACCCCTCATCCCTCCGCCGTGGCCTACCTGAGCACCAAGAAGGCTCCTGTCAAGCCCGCGGGTGCGTACCGCCCTCCCGGCGCTCGTGGCCAGCTCACTCCTCTCGCTTTCAAGCGTGAAGACCAGGGCGGTGCTGCGTATATCCGGGAAGGCACGCCTACCGGTGGTGTCGTGAACGGATTCGGTCGCTCTCGCAGACGTGATGTGCCTGGTGCTGAGCCTGCCGAGGAGTTTCTACCTCCGGGAGCCGCTCCTGGAGGAGGCGTGGCTCTGCCTCCGGGCGTTGAGCAGCCGGAGAAGCTGTCCAAGTCGGCCGCCCGCAACAAGAAGAAGCGTGAAGCCAAGAAGCAGAAGGATGAGCAGGGTGAGGGTGAGCCGGCTGCCGGCCAGTCCACTCGCAGCCCCGACCGCCGCGGCGACAAGGCTCATGAGCGCAACCGGTCCAAGGGCCAGAACAACGAGCGCAAGAACAACCAGCAAACCAATGGGACTTCCACCAAAGCCAATGCCAGTGCTCAAGCCAAAGCCATTGACAGTGTTGCGGCGGCGGAGGCTGCTTTGGATGCCAGCGGAGCACCCACTGCGCAGGACAAGAAGATTCGTGGGCTTCTGAAGAAGATCCGGGCGATCGACGAGCTGAAAATGCGCCTTGCCGGTGGGGAGAAGCTGGAGGATACGCAGATGAAGAAGATCCAGACTGAAGACGCGGTGCGCAAGGAATTGGAGTCTTTGGGCTACAATGGTTAAGGCTAGGTTGGTACTTTGTGTCTGCCCTTTGCTTGTACATATAGTTCCTTGTGGCTATTTACCGCCGCTCCACGTGGTGGGATCATCTTCGCCGATCTGATGTGTTCATTTCTCGTTCTGCTTGCATGTTGGAATTCACTGAGGTGCTTAAGCATACTATACTATCTATCTATAGGGTCTGTATGTATTGTATATATAGAAGTGGTTAGGAGAGAGAAAAATATATACTATCTATTAGACCATTGATGACTTGATCACAGTTTCTTATGCTCATCGATGAGGGGGTCTTAATCGATGCCAAATGCATGTGCTGATTTGTGACTGCCGATGAATACTGCAACTATTCAAAGGACTGGACGGAATGGTGTTATGTGAGAGGTATGCATAACATAAAGCGAAAAAAAAAAAAAAAAAAAAAAATTGTACAATATATCCGATGTAATTTTTGATTTACCTGTGTACTCAAGCGATATCGCTCAACATCTATCTACCTACAATGTGTGACCACTGACTCCAATACAGATAACAGGTAATATCTACAGTAAGTTGATGAATGTTCCCATCCGCCCACCTACCACCAAACTTCCCACCCCAACCCATCCAAACCCAGCCACGACCCTTTTCTCCTCCACAGTTGCCTATCGATGTAGAAAATGCCTTTCACAAGTGGCGAAGAAAAGCAGGAATGAACTCCCACTGGACCCTCCTCACCTTGATCCAATCCCATCCACCGGCCTACCTGTCCTTAACACTTCCTCAATGAGGAAAAGTCCAGCACAGATAACCTCATAGAAAGGAAGACGAAGATCGATAGCAACCACGGGGAGAAATGAGGGAAAGGGAGCGGAGACGGCCACTCGTTCTGGATAAGGGGGTCATGGGGGAGGGAATGGTTCGTGATTCTTGCATGCGTTGGAGAGAAAGACTCCAGTCATTCAAGAAGCCTGACCTGGTGGGTAGGGATGGGGGGTTTTTTCCCCCGCGAATCCACTTTTAATAAGTGGATGGAAATGAAGGATGGGTTGTTGATGTACCGCGTCAGATACAGAGCTTATCCTGTTTCTCCGAGGGAGATGAGGGATTTCAAGGTATTGATCTCGCCTTGCGCTCCACCTTGCAGTGCGGAAGTTTTTTTGGCCTACGATGTGTGCGTTAAATGGGATAAGGGGGGGAGGGGGGACAAGGGAATGGGATTGAAAGAAGGATACGGTAAAATGTCCCGAAAGATGTAAACGTGTAAGTATTGGGTATCTTGGTCATCCTATCTGTTTGACCGTCTTGACGGGATGAGAGGTGCTGTTTGGTGTAGGGGGCGGTCCTGGGAGCGTCGCGGACAGTCACACTCCAGATGCTCGTTAGGAGATATGCTGACTTGCTTCAGATCACAGTCGCATTGAACAGGACATTGCAGGGCCTTTCTTCGACGTTGCTTGGTGCAGTTCAGGTAAAGTTGCGGAGGCGCTTGATTGGGCTTCCCATGATGCCGATCGACCGTTTGGCGCTCGCCATCCCACTCAGGA